CAGCCTTTGCTGCGATATCTTGCCTTGTTCTAATCCAGCACTTGCTTTCATTTCCACCCAGAGTGTATCGTCGATTCACCTTCACCTAAGTTTCTGAAATTCTGTTGATACCTACTTCAGATCTGTTGGATTCAGTTTAGCCATATTATGCCATATATTCGGAACATCTTAGCTTTTAGGTGGCCATATGGCTCTATGATTGTTGTTTTGAGTGCCATGGGTCATATTTCGTTGAGTAGATGTGATTTGATATGGCAATGATAGAAATTATTTATTTATTTATTTATTTATTTATTTATTTATTTATTTATTTATTTATTTATTTATTTATTTATTTATTTATTTATTTATTTATTTATTTATTTATTTATTTATTTGGAGGGAAAAGCCCACACTAGTGGGAGCAAAACCTCATCATTTCAGTACCAACAGGTAACCTGGAATCCTACAGATACATTTGCTTGAACTAAACATATGAAAAGATATTAATGATAAAATAATTAACATAATTTAAATACAGAATTCAGAAACCGTCAGGAAGTTAAAAATACATTATAAAACAGATGCTTAAGCCTAACACGGGCTAGTTATAACATTTGTTGAAAATCTTGCACATGCTAGTTAACGGCTCATTAGCGCCGTAGTTTGTGCTAGAAGCCGGGGTGTTGATAAAATAATAAGAACGTAAATTTACGCGTCTGAATCAATATCAATATCATTCAACTGATGCAGAAATGAACCGCAATTAATGTCCGATCGTAGGAGATCAGCGATGAAGGTAGCCTCAGAGACGCCTCGGCGAACACTAAGTAATTGTAGGGACATCAAATTACAGCGACTTTCATAACTAGGGAGATTGAAAGGATCACTCAAGGGTAGCCAACGAAGAGAGAAACGTACATATCTTCGCTGAATGGTCTCAATATGATTCACCCCGTTGCTGTAAAAAGGAGCCCATACTACGGAACAGTACTCTAATGTGGAGCGGACTAGCGAACAATAGAGGGTTTTTTAAACAGAAAATGTCCCTAAAGCAGGCTTTCTGAAACTCCTCAAACTCTCTGGAGGTTCTAAAATACTCTACGAGTTTATCCAGCCCTCACCTCGAGTGAGTGGCGGCAGGAATATGAAAGAAGTAAACAAAAACTTATCGAGAGAGAGGGAGAGTGAACTTCAGCGAGAGGATGATATGACGTGGGGTGCGCTTTTCGGGACTCCGGATGACTTTTTTGTTCGTCGCAAGAAGCTCAGAGTTCACCCAGAATGAGAGTAAGAGCGTGTGATAGAAAACATGAACATGAATGGCAGCAAACCTCACTCTCATTTTATCCCCCTTCGCTCACAAGCTCTGAAGCTCAGTGGAATGATTTGACAGTAGGCATTCTACTCATCAGAAAAATGCTACGCTCAGGCTCATTTTAAACTCGCGAGCGAGGCTCCAACAAGCCTGCCCTAAATAAAGCCAAGTTGAGAAGATGCCTTAGCGGAAACATAAGCCACATGGTCCTTGAAGGTGAGTTGTGAATCAAGTAGGACGCCTAAGTAGAATCTAATTAGATTCAATATTTGCTCCTGCAAGCTGTAAGCGTAACAGATAGGTGATTTTTTTGTTCCTGGAAAACGTTATAATGGTACATTTAGAAGCATTTAATACCATCCTGTTTTTGTCACACCAAACAGCAAAAACGTCCAGCTGCTGAAGAAACAATGCATCATTTCGATCTTTGATGACCAAGTATAGTTTGAAATCGTCAGCATAAGAAAGCTTCAGACAACGGATCGAAAAGTGAAACGTCATTCAGATACAATAAAATATGAACGGTCCCAGATGACTGCCTTGAGGTACATCAGAAGAAACAGCGAACGGTTGAGAAAAATAATCTCCAATCTTCACTGAGATATGTCGACCGGTGAGGTATGAGCGAAGCCAATCAAGAAGGGAACCGTGAATGCCAAGTCGCTCTAGTTTGGCCACTGCAATCTCGTGATTGATTTTATCAAAAGCAGCAGAAAGATCGGTGTAGATAGCATCCACTTGATGACCTCTTTCCATCTCGCGTATGATTGATGATGTGTATTGAACGAGATTTGTAGCGGTCGACCTCTTCGGCATAAATCCGTGTTGTTCAGTCGCGATGTAACTAGAGCATGTGTGTTTTAAATAATTTAGCGCCAATAGTTCAAAAAGTTTTGAGACTGCACATAAAGCAGCGATACCACGGTAGTTGAACACCGACTACATATTGCCTTTTTTGAAGACAGGGAAAACAAAATAATCCTTCCAGCAGTCGGGAAAGATCCCAGAATCCAAAGAGAGGTTGAAGATGGATGCTAAACGTGCGGCCAGCATGGCCGCGGCAGGGATTCCGTCAGGGCAAGTGCTGAAAGAATTTTTCAAACGAAGGCGTGCTCTACGAACATCATTAGTCGAGATAGGCGGATGCGGCCCAACAGCAGACAGTACGGGAACATCACTTACGGCGGCTACGATGTGCTCGTTCGGTAAATTTTCTTTGACGAAGACACTGCTGAATTGTGACATGAACAGGTCAGCGATTCCCTCCGTATCTGACTCTTCTCGATCCGTATTGTACATGGTAGAAGGGAAGCCCGATTCCTTCCGTTGATCGTTTACATGATTCCAGAAGCTCTTGACATTTGCTTTGAGTTTAGTTTATAGGTGGCGCTGATGGGCTTGATAAAGCTGTTTGTTGAGCCGCTTGTACTGTTTGTTAACGAGGTTGTACTTCCTCTTCGATGCATCCGTTCGAAGTTTACAAAATTTCTAAAGGCAGCTCGTTTGGATGACTTCAGTCGTTGAGTCGGTGGTTGGTCCAAGGCGGGTTACTAGATATGGGTGGAGTTGTCATGGGTACAAACTGGTCGATCGCATACACGGCAATATTCGAGAAAATAGAAGAAGCAGCATTCGCGTCATGATCTCGGAGTTCATCGTCCTAGCTGATGTTTTAGATGCCATTCCCTCGAAGCCAATCCTACGGTAGTCATACGATACGCTGTCCATGGCAACCAGAAAAGTGCAAGCCTGATATAAGTGTAATGATAACTGCAGAGGTGAATGGTGTCTACAACGTTTAACTAGTGGTTCGGAATTTGACCATGTGGAACCATAATTCGGAATATACGGTGGCCATAAGGCTCTAATATTAATTGTTAGAGTTATTGGTTAGTTATTGGTCATATTTTGTCGAACAGATGTGAATTGACATGTCGCTTAGTGTGGTTAAGATAAATAACAAATTTAACCATTCAGAACCATAATCCTGAATATCTGGAACCTGTTCTACGGTTGTATTGAGTGCCATTGATATATCACATTTGATTCCGAAAGATAATGAAATTTACCATACGGAACCATAATGCAGAATATCCGGAACCGGTTCTATGATGGCCATATGGGTCTATGGTTTTCTTTTTCAGAGCCGTTGTTCATATTTCGTCGAATAGATGTGATTTATGTCGTTTGATATGTTTTGCATGCCATTGATCATATTTTGTCGAGTAGATGTGATTTGATATGTCGCTCGAGATGAGAGGGATTCCAAATTTGACCATGTAGAGCCATGATCCGGAATATCTAGAACTGGTTCTAACTTGACTATATGGCTCAGTGGTTATTATGTTGAGTATCGTTAGTCATATTTCGTCGAGTAGATGTGATGTAATATGTCGCTTGATATGGTTATAACACATATCAAATATGACCATACGGAATCATAATCAGGAATATTCAGAACCGGTTCTACGGTGGCCATATGGCTCTAGGACTGTCGTTTTGAGTGCCATTGGTCATTTTTCGACGAGTAGATGTGATTTGATATGTCGCTTGATATGGTTATGAAAGATATCCAATTTGACCATATGACCATAATCCGGGATATCTGGAATCGGCTCTACGGTGGCCATATGGCTCTATGGTTGTCGTTTCAAGTGCCATTGGTCATATTTCATCGAGTAGATGTGATTTGATATGTCGCATGATATGGTTATGGTAGATAATAAATTGGACCATATGGAACCATAATCCGGAACATCCTGAACCGATTCCAAGGTAGGCATGTGGTCTTATGATTGTTCTCTATCATTTCCGAGAGTTTAACGAAAAAAGTAAGATATATGATAACGATTGAAGAAAACACCCCCGTGCCAGAGGGAGGGGCTTGTGGGAGAGTACCACCCAACAGATGTAAGAACCACTCACCGGAATGATGTTAACAAAATTTCAATTTAATCGGCCATGGCATTTCTAGAATACAAATTTTTGAGAAAAAAATATTGTTCCGGGCTTTTACGGGTTGATTTTGTGATCAATTAATTAGAAGTTGTGTCCAATTTATGTCGATAACATTTTTAATTAATCGGATTAACAGTTGTGGCCAATTTGTTTGAAATGATCGATGCTTATAAAAGCTGTGTTCAATCAATCATGTATAATCAATTTCGTTGGAAGTTGTGATAGTTTTATTTTGCCAAGTATTTGGGCAAATTTTGGCCATTTCATTTGAAATTGGGGCTAATTACGAATTTTCGTTGGAAAATGTAATTTGAAAGTTGTGACAGATTTCATTACAAGTTGCGTCTAATGCAGTTTGGTTTGATAGCATATGGATTTGATCCCAAAATCCTTAGTCCAATTCAGTTTGCAATCCGGATCAATATTATTCGTTATCACCTTATTCATCACAAAAAGTTAGCACCCGAGCAAAGGTTAATTAGAGGAGCAAAATTAATTACTAGTACATTTCTTGTAAAATATTTTTTATAACCTTACTAAAAAGTATTTTTTTTTTTACCTAAAAACACGAACAGGGCAATAAACTTGAATAGTTACGATATCATATACACGGCAATCACGGTTGCAACTTGCAACACTGATCCAATCATGTTAAATCAAATGTGATGCTAATTATTGTTATTGTCCTCCCATAGACAATTTATCCTGCGAACAACACACTCATCTCTCCCATTTTCACTTTCAGATGACCCCCACTTCAGTGACCTGGTGTACTCGGCCGAAATCGCCATCGATGCCGGCATCTACCCGGAGCGAATCTATCAAGGAAGCAGTGGTTCTTATTTCGTGAAAAACCCCGCCAATGTAAGTTTACAGCAGCAAATCGTATTAATTTTTAATCAACTCACGACAATAAGCGAGCGCTCCATTCAACGGGAAACTGGTCTCCAGATTTGGCCAACTTCATTCCTGCAAAAGCGAGCGCACAGCAAAATCTCAAAGTGATTCCCATTCGGCTCGTTTAATTAAGTGATTATCCATTAAGCAAATTCCCCGCGCAGGTGCTTCCTTCCGGAAACTCAGAGCATCCATTTCCGTTTCACTCACGCTGCTTAAAACGCTGTAACTTTTTTTGTTTCGTCTAATTGCGTCGGTTGCCATAATTTTATGTCGGGCGGATTTCCATCATTCACTAATGCGAATACTGCTGACGTCCGTCCCCGTTGGCGTCGTCGGTTGTTTCGGTTTAGGAAATGGAGAAAATCGTGCCAAAACCGATGGGAAATTGATTAGCGGAAATGGATTCTCCTCCTGTGGTTTGGGATGGGATCCTTAATTTACCGAGCTGAATGCCAAGGGGTGTCTGCTCTATCAAGGATCTCTAGAGAAGACATTGGTATTAATCACACAGCTACCATGAAGAGTGTACCTGACGCTTAATGTTGAATAATGTATTCGGGTAGTAAATTGTACATCTTTACCTTACATTGCAGAAAGTAGTGGCGGTATTCAAACCGAAGGACGAAGAGCCCTACGGAAGGCTCAACCCAAAGTGGACGAAATGGATGCACAAGCTGTGCTGTCCGTGCTGCTTCGGGCGTGCGTGCCTCATTCCCAATCAAGGGTAATAAATAGTTTCACTCCCCATTTCCGGACAAAATTAGCTATTACCGAATCATTCCTCTTTTGTAGCTACCTATCGGAAGCCGGCGCTAGTCTGGTCGATCAGAAATTGAACCTAAACATTGTACCAAAAACGCGCGTTGTCCGACTGGTTTCGGAAACGTTTAACTATCCCCGCATTGATCGGCAGAAAGCACGTATTAAGAAGACCATCAAAGAGCGAATACCTGCGGCCCGCTTCAACCGGATGAGTTTGCCACCTAAAACTGGCTCGTTTCAGTTGTTCGTTGACAGTTTCAAAGATGCCGACTATTGGCTGCGACGCTTCGAGCAAGAGCCGCTCCCGACGCGACTTTCGCAAAAGTTTCAGCTGCAATTCGAACGGTTGGTTGTGCTGGACTACATCATCAGGAACACCGACCGTGGAAACGACAACTGGCTCATCAAATACGAACAACCAACGATAGTTTCGCATGTCAACGGGAGTACTCCGAACGGAATTCCCCGGAGTAGCAGTCGGTTGGAAATGACCGAGAATACGGATTGGAATTTGGTTCAACTGCCGGAAATCAGGATCGCCGCCATCGACAACGGGCTGGCGTTTCCGTTCAAGCATCCGGATTCGTGGCGTGCCTATCCGTATCACTGGGCTTGGTTACCGCAAGCGAAGGTACCGTTCAGTCAGGACATCAAGGACCTCATACTGCCCTCGTTGTCTGATTTGAACTTTGTCGAGGAATTGTGCAACGAACTGTACGAACTGTTCCGCCAGGACAAGGGCTTCGATCGGGGCCTGTTCGAGCGGCAAATGTCTGTGATGCGCGGCCAGATACTGAATCTGACGCAGGCCCTCAAGGACGGCAAGAGTCCGGTGCAGCTGGTCCAGATGCCGGCTGTCATTGTTGAACGGTGAGTAGTAAACGGTCCTTACAATTTTCAAACGATTGTCTACGCGGGGGAAGGGAGTCTAAAACCGCTAAAAATCGGGCTACTTTATTTGTGAAATCCGTCCTTCCTTCCTCCTCGAATTTTAAGCTTATTGCTTATCGCATTTAGCTTATTGCGTGCTATCAACTTAGTGTTCTAGATGCACTTCCACTGTTGTTAATTGAGAGCTTTCGATGCCTGACCATTTTTGCATTAGTATAATTGTGTGGCAAGTTCAATCATACTCTATTATGCCCAGGGAAGTCGAGAAATTTTCCAACCCGAACAAATCCTAGACCGGACCGGGAATCGAACCCAGGCCCTTCCAGCATGGTCTTGCTTTATAGCTGCCAAATTATTAAACAATATTTTCTAATTTTTGATCGTATTTTAAAGATTTTTTAAAAAATGACGCATCGGAAAAACTCAACCTTTTCCGATTTACATAACACTTTGCACAATTGTGTGTTATGAGATTGATGGAATGCCGGCGCCGGTGGTGTAGTGGTAAGCGTAACTGCTCTCTCACCCCAATGCATTGCAATGGGTCTGGGTTCAATCCCAGTCGAGGTCGGTGGGATTTTTCTGAGGCATAATCTCTGGTCACGTCTTCCTTCGGAAGGGAAGTAAAGCCATTGGTACCGGCCCACCGGTGTATTGAATTGAATGGGTGCGATATCCTACGCAGGTGTGGAAGCTGCCTTCCTGCACATTCGATTACCGTCAATGGATGGCAATCGATGTCCGTCGGTGATTGGGGCACTAGATTGCGGAACAGAGATCGACGTTAAATATTAGGGAAAAAAAAGAGATTGATGTAATGATTTTGCAAAAAGTCTGCCCTTTCGGTTCTTGTTTTTTTTTTCAAAATGGCATGTTTGTCATTTTTCAATAAATTGTAGCACTAAAACTTCACTTCTTATCGAAATGACGTCTGAGAAAAATGAAGTCTTTCTGCGAAAATTATACATGGTATTTTTTAAGTAATTTTGAATAAAAATAGATATACTTTTTGAGATATTTACACAACTCAAAACTTTGTTTCAGACGTCATTTCGATCAAAAGTTACCTTTTCGTTCAATGTCAGCCATTTTGGAAAAAAAAATACAATATCCAAAATGGCCGATTTTTTGCAAAAATGTGAAGGATTGCCAATAACAAGCAAATATGCAAAGTGTCATGCAAATCGGAGAAGGTCGAGTCCTTTTTTTTAAATTGATTGATGAGCGTTTTAGTACAATAATTGTATACCTTATTACGTTTGTTTTTACTTTTAAGTCTACTACTATTGTATCATTTTCACTAATTTACTATTCACATTCAATATTTAGTTTCACTATCACTTTAAAAAATAAAAACCATAACAGATAGGTATTCCGTTTACTGCTTGCAAACCTTTTTATTTATTTGTTTTTGCTATTTGGCGTGGAACTGATCATTCCTAAACTCTTTAATACTCATCATTACGATCATCGGGTTGTGATTGCCGTTCATATTTTCAATTGTATATTTTCTAGTTTTAACTACTTTAACTATTTGTTTGTATTACTTCCTGCGTGAAGTTAACGATTTTACATAGTTGAAAATGCTAATTTTCAAATAACAGACTTAAAGTGGTCATTTTATCGAGGGGCACGCAATACAAAGAACCGATGCGTTGAAGTTAAAATGCAGTCAAAAGTACTTAAAGTATTTATTGCGTTTTGAAGTAGTACTGACGGTAATTAAAATTATCTATCCGTAATTAATGTAATTAAAAGTATTGGAAATGTAATTAATGTACTTTAATAGGGTTCTAAAATCAACAAAAAAATCTTGTTTTTATTATCCTAAATGAAAACATTATCTTTGCCTACGACAGTATTTTTTTTCCAATTCGAAAAACAAGAATATTATTGTTGAATTTAAAATCAAAAAAAATAATAAACTAACTAACTAGACATTATCGGTCTAACTTGATGTTTCATGAAAAAAAAACCCTGTGGTAAAAAGGTACGCTTCCCGCTTTTTACCGCCAGGTGCCAGTTTAATCTGACATCAACTCTGACAACTAGCTGTCAGCTGATCGTTTTTCCTTGTTCTGTCAGTTTACCATCTGACTCTATTTTGCTATAGATTTTCCAATGTGTGTGATTTCTCTAACAAAATTTGTTTTGAAAAACATCGAGAAATGAAAACAGGATTTTTGAAAGCTGATATTAACACTCTGCCCAAAGTGAATTTCTTCATGGTTCAGCATTTCCTATCTACCAACGACAAGTTTCGAGATGTAAACAAGCGGGGAAAAATTCAGAAGTAAACTTTGATTTCTTTTACAATTTTAACATTTACCTAATGCTGCTGTTTAATGTTTAGATCTAGTAATCCTGATTACTTAAAATCAACTATTGGCAGAGTTCAATATAAAATAGAAAACGGCGTTTATACTGTTAAAGCACGAGTAGTACCGGAACATAAGGTGACCAAAAGGCAGTACAGCCATAGAGGTAACTCTAAGACCAGAAAGTCCCGAAGAAACGTGCTCAACTTTTTGGCTCAGCTCTGGTACTATCTTCGGTCCCAAGCTAATCGATGCACCCCTCGAAACATGGGAAAATCCACGAACCCCTCATTTTATCTGTCAAACTTTCATAGAGAATCAAAACAAACATAGTGTAGTAGTAGAATTCCGACTAGAATGGGATACGTTAATCGTTTGCTTGGGACCAATAGGCTAGTCAAGTAGTGAGCCAATTTCAAATCGATAGTTTCGTATTGATTGTTGGTACAGCGTCGTGGCGATCGTCGACACTCAGCTGGAGAAGATATAAGATGTTTATTGTGAAAGTGAGAGCGATGGATGCAAAGCAGCAGCTGGTGGCTGTAAGCACGCAGTAGCATTTTTATTCTTTTTATATGAAAAGTTCTCATTACCCTCACCAACTGATACTACTTGTTTGTGGAAAGTACCACAACTGGCGCGTGTCGATGAAAATATCGATAACTTCGATATAAGCAACTATACTAAATCTGATGTGAAAAGAAAAAATGATTCGGAAAACGGAAGTGGAAGGTTCCTTCAAACATTACTGGAGAAGTGTCCTGACTCTCACTCAAACACTGCCATGAAGTATTACAAACCAACTCACGCAAGTGATTTATGCAACATGCATAATATAATGCTTGAGTTTAAATCAAAACCGGGACATCTTATCATTGTAAAAGTTTTATTTCTTTTTGTAAAATGATCATGACAGCACAAGCTTGTAATATTAGTGAGATTAGCACAAGGGGCAGAATTCGTCGTTGTGGTAAAATTTGAAATTTGGCCGAATCACTGCATCAAAGTTATATGACTTGTCTCGTTGTGCAACTCCAGACGGATCTTTAGTTCATGCTATTCTAGGACACAGTACCAAAACCACAGAAGCTATGGAAAGGGGTCTGCGGCTAGAGGGTAGGGTAGTTGATATTATTAAAAAACATTACAAGAATGTGAAACGTTGTGGACTGTTTCTACATCCTCGTTATCTTTCTTTCGGTGCTTCTCCCGACGCAATCAATAAGACAACCGTTTTTGAAAGAAGTAGAAATTCCGAAAAATTTGTAGAATTCCACGAAGTTGATTTTGACAACAGTTACCTAACAGGAATAATGAAATCTAGCTATAAATTTTGGCAAGAACACATTTTCACTCAATTGTTTGAAAAGTTTCGAGTATTATATATTGCATTTTTCGATCACTGAGAATAAACTGGTACTGTTCAACATTTTATTATATTTTATTGTTTGTATTGACACTCATTCTTAGTTATCTACCTAATCAACTTGGCTTGCAGATTAACTAATACAGGTATGATAATATCGTCAAATTTATCAAATAAAGTTGATGGCAATTCAGCATGTGGAGCACACATTTTATACTATCTGAATCTCCTAATGAGACGCTCAACATGGATCCTGACGCTAGCAATTTCTCTCGCTAAAATCGAGTCTTCTTTAGATAATGGTTCATCATTAGATACGCTAGGTGGCCTAACAAGTACTTCTCCAACACTGACTATGTCAGTTGCCACGTTTTTGAAACCACGATCGGCTAAATACTTCAATGTATTGCACGATTTGTACCAATAATTTGTAATTTGGCCCAAAAAAATAAATTCCTTCATTTCTCTAGCAATTACAGGAACACAAGTACTGAAAATTTGACCAACGCGAGCACCTGTCAATCCTACCGTGTCGCTCAGTATCTCAAATGATTCATTTAGTCTTATCTTTCGAAAAATCTCTTTCACTTATTTCAGTAGTTTCAGTCCACGCAGTTATGACAAAATAATTATCTTCTGAGATCCCTAAATATTTCATGGTATTTGATTTAACCATCGCTTCAATATGCCAATACACATCTTTGGAAGAAACTTCACCTATTAACTCATTTAAACTTTCACTACTTGGCAAATACTCGCTTCTAACTGATCCTGCGCTTGTTTTGAAGGTAGATCCTGCTGAACTTTGAACATTTGCGGTCGGAGTGGATGGTAGAGTCCCGTATGCTGGAATTTGATAAGAAGTCTGTATTCCCACGTTTTTCATCAAAACATTGCATTGTACCGACACAGATAACTGGAGTAAAGTATCAGTTGCAACACATCGGTCCATCACAGTCTGCTTGCAATTTTGTCGAACCTTATCCCTCGAGGTTACGTCAGCTAGTTTGGATCCTATAATTATCACCATTTAATAATCAATCTTTACTACATCTAAATAAACTCAGCGTTTTCATATGATTTGTAGGAATTTGCCGTACAGTTGATTTTAGAATCTGATAACTCATCAAAACTTTCTAATGGATCCATCTCAGTGCCGATGAGAAACGCATATCGTTCGCTGGGTGATTCCAGCGGCAGGTTCTTATGCGGCAAGATGTCCGGGTACAATCGAAAGTTACGGCTTTTGTTCTCGGAATTAACATTAGCTATTCGATAATCACTTGGCTAGAATT